GAGTATGGCACGTTGCCAAAAATGGATGCTGTCGTGTGTGCCTATTGCGCCTCCGAAATCAACATTGCGTTCTTTTTTCAATATCGAAAACATTTGCTTGCATCCATTGCAGTAATGCAAACTGGATATTTTTGACGGCGCGATGAGCTCAATGAGCGGACGAGGGGAGCCCAACCAGGCGTGGCTTGACATTATTCTCCTGTTGGCCCGTTCTCCTGGTGCGCCTTCACTGGGCACCCAGCGACAAGGTCTGGAACAGCTGCTTGGGTGCGATCGGCAAAGCTCGGAATGGCACAACAACGAAGGAGACCGAATGCCGCGGTGCGAGCGGCTGAAAGTTCCTGATCGAGAAGTGCATCTGGATCTCGACTTCTGCAGCCTTTTGTTCCTTTTGGCCTGTTGCATGAAACATGCATCACACACATTGCAGTGAGAGCGCGCACCGCATATTGGACGGAAGGTAAATCTGTGTGAAGGAAAAAACATTCTCTTAATGACGGCCATCACATCCTCTCAAATGATTGGGGATGACAAAATCATTCAGATTGTGGTGGTTTCGAAGGCGGACGAAAAGTGTGAGAGGTCGCCATCCATTTTTATGGGCAGAAGTGTGAGATATTCCATGATTGCGTCGCTCCATGTTCAATTTTGAACCTTCAATTCGCCTACATGTGAATGAATTCAATACCTGGTCGCATCGTCAGCGGGACGCACAGGTAAATGCCTCATTTCGAGCATTCGCATTACATGGTAGGGCTGTCATAACGATGGATCACACGTCAGGCATGAAAAATTCTGTAACGTCCCAACAAATTCAGATTTCAGGCAATAAATGGAAGCAACGGCAACGCAGCTGAGCGGAGCGGCTGTACTCTGACAAAGCTTGTGTCCAAGAGCACCCAAATTTGCTTAATTACGCCGGGCCTCCTGGAAGGTGGATTTTCGACGCTTGATCAACTCTTACAAGGCGGAATCCAACTTGATTGCCACGACGCACCACATTATTGCTGCTCGCGTGATCGCTAGCGGGCGCTGGCGCGAACGCTGACAGAAACATGCTGCCTCCAATCACAGTTATTTGCTGCCCATATGCCGCTGCAACAGAGTCGTACGTTCACGCGCACCATTGCCTGCTCAAGTAAAGAAATTACGAAACGAGTAGTTCTTTCTTACCGCCATAAACTCGTACGGCTTTCGGCTGTCCACAGGGTTGCCTACATGATGCAATAGAGAGAGATCATCAGACGCAGAAATGGCAGTGCCAGCCGCCCTCTTGCATCCAGTATAAAGCAGAGTAAATTACTGTGCAATTTGCAGTTACAAGCCAATTTATGCCTTTCTAAATGACTACAAAGCGTACATTGGACCCACCATAGGTGGCGCAATTCCGGTGGCCCACGTGAAGTGGACAACAGCAAAGTATCCGCATAGGAAAACACCAAACACAAGTTACTCATCAATATGGCCAGCGGAAGAGCAAAAGTCTCTTGCTGTAAGTTGTGCCCAGGGTTAGAGCAACGTTCCAGTCTTTGATCGCTTTTCACAACAATGTGCTCTTGACACACTATTATGTTGCCTTGTGCACATGAATCGCTGAAGATTTGGCAAAAACAAAATCATTGATATGATGGATTATCTACACAAGGAGAGGCCCAACTCCTTATTGCGTTTTTGCTGGAATCCTTGAATTTTTCATGATACACGTGGCAAAGCAAATCTCTCATCACCAATCTTTACCCGCCATGTCTGGGCGCCTCCAAATGTTGCACCATATCCTTTTCAAAACGCCTGGTATTCTTGCTTTGGAGCAAATTTGGATTTGCAGGCCATTTCTCGTGTCATTTCTTATCGCCAATCACCTCTGTAGTCGGCCTCAGACGATGGCGATGAGGTCGACTCCAAAAAGGCATCCTCGAGATTTTGGTGTTCCAGCTGCGTACGGTGACCGATCCCTCTGTCGCAGTCGAGGATCTCCCTCCGGCCCAGAATGCCGTAGTAGTCTTCTGCTGTGTACTGCGGTGCCAACAGTTCCATCATCTTTCAAGGCATCTCAATCGAAAGAGCTATGCGGAATTGATTTCTCAGCTGATATAAGTGTTGAATTCGCCTGGAACTAGCAGCGCCATGTTAAGTAATGGTGCACACAACTTGTCTCCACGTTGTGATTCAACCAGTCAGGAAATGACCCAAGGTTAAGCAAAGAAACATCAGCAAAATGCTCATTACCAGAAATGAGTCTCCTTGAGAGTTTTCATCACATGTGGTAAACAATTGTGTACACAATCACAGCCTCTTGTTCTTTAAAAGTTGCTGTTTGGGATGCATGGCACACTCTGTGGAAAAAAATGTCCACCATTGGACGCCGTGAGTTCGGCTACATTATAAGAAAATGGGATGACTCATGAGGTTATTTTCCTTTGAGAGATGGGAAGGCTTTCGGGACTCGTGAGGAGGGGATTCTGTGTGACACTGAACAAACCATGCGATAAGATCAGCAACACTGGTCTGGAATTCATGCCCAATATCGCCTCCAAAGTGCAAGGGCAGTGTTTTGTCACGTTTGTATGACAAATGTAATCAAAGGACTCAAAGGGCGCCGTGGCGGGAACTGTAAGATACAGGCTGCAACTGTTCCGTATATGCAGCATTTCCTGATCGAAGATATTCAAGCGCTCAGTTGCGTTTTGGGTCAGGTCGAGCAAACAAAAAACACGGACAAAAGCATCAGACCACAAACCTACGATGTTGGTCTCCAAGGAAGCGCCACAATGCTCAGAGGAGCAGCGGTAACTTAAACGCTGCTTCCTTAAAGGGGAGCAGAGCTGCAGGGGGTCAACCCTGTTCCATCCGCAACCGACGCCACCTTTGGCGTTCCTGTCGCTCCTGGCGCCCGCGGCACTGCCCGAACTGAGTTCTCCGTCGCCCAGAATCACAGCTAAGCCGCGACAACATCGCCTCAAGGGACTAAACTCGAGCTCTTGCTTACGGGTGCCAATTCCTCTTCAGAGGTCCAGTTCATTGGAAAATCCTCGCCTCGTTGTGCTCTGCTCCTCCGCCTTGGCTGGCCTCACGCCGAGCGGCACCAGCAGGCGGCCCCCTCTTCCGGGGTGTTTGGGATGAGAGCGCCGCCCCGTAACTCCCGCGGCGGTCTTGCTCTGCTGACGCATGTCTCGAAGGCCCGCTGCGCGCCGGAGTGGTGGGAAGCCGGAAACATACGAGAATGAATGCATGACTGGAGGCAGTGGCGTGGACGGGGAACGTTGGCTGCTTTAGTTTTTGGCTGCTAATAGATTTAGTTTGTATTTCTCAATAGATTCCAATGAACCAATCACCGACTCTGCTTTGCTCAGGCAAAATAGGAAGCTGAAAGCTACGTCATTGCCTTGTTCTGTAAAAAATGATGATGATGATGATGATGATGATGATGATGATGATGATGATGATGATGATGATGATGATGATGATGATGATGATGAACGTTGGCTGCATGTTGTAATGTTGCGGCATCCAATTGGTGCCGGATCTTTTGGCTGACTTCTCCCTTTTAATCACTTTTCTTCAGGCTGTCACCTCATGCTAACATAAAAGCAAACTGTGGCTGCGAGCACGCCAGATAAATTCCAAGGATGTGCTGTTATGTGGAGAGTGTGCTCCACAAGATAAAGAAAATGGGGGTCGGATTAGACCCAGCTGCGGCAAAAATCTAGGTCCAAAGATGGCAGGGGGATTCGACGAGCGTGTGTCGAACTTTGAGCCCACACGCCACGCCGAGTCCGACAAGGCGCTGGTCGGACTTTGACTTCGCAAGTGATGCGCTGGTTTAGACAAACATGATCAGGGTACCATGCTTCCGCCATTGCACCACACAGTTCTGCAGTAGATTTATAGTTTGCACCACAACGTACTTGGACCCCCTCTTTAACGAGGTCTTTTGGCAGATGATCAATAGGGGAGCTGGGTGGCAGGTCAACGAAATCTCAGTGGTGGCTACTGACACCAATAATGAACGAAATCATTGATGGTTGCTTAAATGTGAGCACCCCGCCACCCCGCTCTCTTATTGAACACCTGTCGATCATCCAGACCACAAATCAAATCCCAAGTCCCCATCATCGCCTTCCAACTGTTCTAACACTCAACAGGCATTCTTCAAATAAGATGCAGTTGCCCCGTTCGCAAACAGGTCCGTCGCTTTCCGAAATCCACCCTGCGCCATTTTCCAACGACAAAACATTCTTGACTCCGAGCCTCTCCCACCTCAAACACTTATTGAGAAGACAAAAAGTACAGTACTGGGTAATGCACAGTGCTGTGTTGCGCAACTTTTCCCTGTAAGGGTGTTCTCAATCACATCCATGACCCAGCCAGACGCTATCGTTGCCTGTTCGTCCCTCCCAGAAAACAGCAGCTCTCTTAACCCACAGGGACGCACCGCCTTCAAAAAAGTTCCGGCAAAGGCGCACCCGTTCTGGTGCGAGGCAGGTGCGTGGGCGCCACAACAGGGGACTCCGAGGTTGCAGCCATGATGTTCATCCAAGACACTGACCGCCATTTCCCGGGCAGCCTGGTAGTGTTGGAAATGCTGCGCGAAAGCAACACGGATGGAGCAATAGGGAGGTGCAGCAACCTGGTGCCCACCCTCTGCCATGTGGCGTGCAAATGATCTCACAGGGCCAGGCTGTTATGCTGGGCCATGTGATGCCTTGACAAGAAATCGTGGTGATCAGGAGCTAAATCAGGATCATGACAGATCCATATCCCTTTTCTGGGGAGGTGGGGGTAGTTGAAATCTAGGCCAGCCCTACTGGCCAACGCCCTCCCAGTCCCTGAGTTGAACTCAGAGACCCGTCGATTCTGCATTGGTGCAGGTTCTGGCTAATGGCACATGTTGGCGCCAACATGGAAGCCAGCATGGGGAGTTGCCATGGTTCAAGCAATCGATGAACAGCCAGCTCAGAGGACGGCGTTAGGAGACATCCTTTGGCAGAACAGTGCTGTCATTATTTGGCAATGTGTTTTTGCACGTGGGCGGTCATGGATTGGAGCCCATGAAGCTGAAACAGGGGCACAGCTACAGACATGCCTGTCAGTTTGAATAGCGTTACTACACTGGACAAGTGAACACTGTGCTGATAGACTTGATAGCCCGTTCCATTCTCTTTGTGCACGATTATTCTCCTAGTCAATTCAGATGCTGTGACACCATGCACAAGGCACAGTGTGATGCATTGCACAATAAACTGGGGCTGCCTGGGAGCCATGTCTCGATGCACACAGGCATCTGGAAGCCATTCTCGCTTGAATAGGAAATCCATGCATGACAAGTGTCAAGTGCACACAAGAACAATGCACAAAAGAACACAACAATACATGACAGCAAAAACAAGCCAGGTGATCGCCCTTTCCTGTGTCCATTTCAGTGGCCACTACCCAGCAGGGCACGCAACAAAAGCTAATACTACATTATGTACACTGCAATACAAGCTACAAGCAAGCACTGCTGTTGTTGACCTGTCTGGCTCGGGCAGCCAGGCAGACAGTGGCGCGGTGACCTTCAAACCATTGCCAAAGCCAAACCCACCCATTGCTACAATAAGGGCCACTCCTTCAAATGCGCCAGCTATCCCCATCCAAGCAGCGAGAGCAGTGTTTGCCGTGCGCCGACAGTCGCAATCACACGAGATGTGCGCTGTGCCAAGGCCCCCCGTTGCCACCATGTTCAGATGCCAACACGCCGTGGCCTTGGCCTGGCCTTACAGCCCTGTATTTGGTAACCCCACCGCCTGTTGCGCCGTTCCACTTCATGTTCCCAGCCTGGAGACGATAGCTTCCGAACTTCGACGCCAACTCGCCCCCCCATTGCACTGAATGCGCGAATTCTTGGCCTCCGCAGCATGACCCCTCGATCACCACCTCCCCTCCCGCCCCCCCACCATACGCACCCGTTCTACGCGAATTTCGGCGCCCAGCCTTTGAGTATCATCTCCTCCCCGTAATCCGTCGCTTTCCAGCTGTCCCTCCCCTTGGCCTCACCAAAATACGCCGCCACGGTGCCGTACTCCTCCGGCAGCTCCCACCCTTTAAAATGCTTCAGCACGGTGAAGGCGTGGTACAGCCGCGGGAGCAGCATGACGTCCACCGAGTTGAAGCGATCGCCCCCAAGGAAAGGGCCCTCCGTCGCCTTGAGCACCTTGTCCAAATCTCCCATCTCCCCCAGCCACTTGGCCTCAGCCTCTGCCGGATCGGCGTCACCAGGCAGCGCAAATGCTCTGAAAGATCCGAACACGCTCCCTCCAACTTCGGCCATCTCTGCCGGGGCAACCATGCTGGGCTCAGGGAACTTCTCCTCCAAGTAGGCCACAATCGCGCCGCTGTCGGGCACCCAGGCGTCGCCGTGCTTGATCACGGGGACGGTGCCTGACGGATTGACATCCAGCAGCCAGTCGGGCTTGTTATCGAAGGCAATGTACTGGAGGTCGTGGGGAATGGCCTTCTCCCGGAGGGTCAGGAGGACGCGGTGGCAGAAGGGGCAGTCGCCCAGGGTGCTGGTGGCGGGGTCGCCCTTAACGTAGGCCGTCAGCACGGGTTTGCTGCCTTCACCGCTGGCGGATGCCATCGAGGCTTCGAGTGGGCGATGACAGGTGGTGCAGTGCGGGAGAGGCTGGGCGCAAGCGCTGGGGCTGCCTGGGGGCGTGGGGAGTGCGCGATTTTAGCGTTGGCTAGGTGGTTTAACGTTAGAGGTGCCTCGGGGCTGCAAGTCGGTGGGCGAGGTGGGGCCTGGGGCAGACAGGACTGCTCTTACGCGAAACTTTCCTGGGTGGGGCGAGTGTACCGAGTGTACGGTACGAGCCGCCGGACCGTATCTGGCGCCTGGGCGGTCACAGGAATACTGTGACAGGAAACCAGGCGCTGGTGTTCCGGTGCACAGTTTCCCCCGACAGGACGGGCGTCCGCTCGACTTTTTTTGTCCCCAGACTCGGTTGTATGGGTACACGTGGTGCCCAGCGAGGCCCTTGAAGCCTCCGTCCTCCAACCGCCCTCCCCACGTTCCACACACAGGCCACCGCCCACACACGCGCACACACCCCGCCCGCCGGCGCCGCCCCAGCATGGCCTCCCGGATCGCCTGCGGCCCAACGGCAGCCGCGACCTCCGGCAGGGCCGCGGGCACCCCATCCCGCCCCCCCGCCGCCTGCAGGCTGCTGATCGCCGGCCGCATCAAATCGATCAGCGGCGCTCCCCTGCCGTGGGCCGCATCCTCCCGGCCCGATCGGCGCCGGTGCGCCGGCAGGGTGGCCGTGACGGCCAGCTGCCCCCCGCTGGTGGGCAACGCAGCCGCGGACTTCACCGCGCAGGCGGTGTTCGACCAGGAGTTCGTGGAGCTGAGCCTGAGCCAGTACCGCGGAAAGTACGTGGTGCTGTTCTTCTACCCGCTGGACTTCACCTTCGTCTGCCCCACGGAGATCACGGCCTTCTCGGACCGCCACGCCGAGTTCAAGGACCTGAACTGCGAGGTCCTGGGCGTCAGCGTAGACTCCCAATTTTCCCATTTGGCGTGGATCCAGACGCCTAGGAATGAAGGGGGGCTGGGAGATTTGGAGTACCCGCTGGTGTCCGACCTCAAGCGCGAGATCTCCACCGCCTACAACGTGCTTTCCGAGGAGGGGGTGGCGCTGCGGGGGCTGTTCATCATAGACAAGGAGGGCGTGGTGCAGCACGCGACCATCAACAACCTGGCCTTCGGCAGGAACGTGGACGAGACGCTGCGGACACTGCAGGCGATCCAGTACGTGCAGGAGAACCCGGACGAGGTGTGCCCCGCTGGCTGGACGCCCGGCGACAAGACCATGAAGCCCGACCCAACCGGATCCAAGGAGTACTTTGCAGCCATCTAGGTGCGTGGGGGAGGGATGGGCTGTGCAGGGATTGGACATTTTACCGACAGCAGGACGGAACGATGCCCCTGCACCTTGGGGCGATGTCTAGGGACTGATGGGCGGCAGCGCCGAGTTGTTGCAAGCAATGCAGTTCATAATGGGTGGATGGAAGCCATGTCATGCGATGCAATCTAGCAATTTGCGCCTGTGAGGCTGCTTGGACAACTAGGCAGCTTCACTGTGGCCTGACGGCATTTGTCCATAGCTCTGATGGTCATAATGCAGGGAAGCTGGCATGCCATACTGATATGTGAACCCCAGGGCCCAGAAATGCCAATCAATGTCAATTTGCCACATGTAGGGAGTCGGGTCCTAAATGTGGATACCATCCATGGCACAACCAATCTGATTACGAAGAATGGAGCTTTCTGTTCAGTGCCTGCACGAATTTGCCTTTCGCAACTGTGCCTTGTTTCACCCACACTTCCATGACTGGGTTGTCTGTGTGCCTTATGTTCTTCATCAGTTCAATGATGTTGTGATGACGATCTTGTTGTCTGATCTGCACAGGGTTTGGCAAAGTACATCGGCAACGGGTCAAGTTTGGGGGCAAGTTACCAGTCAGGCTTCCACGCCGAATTCTTTTGTGTGATTGGTTGTCATCATATCTACAATTATGACTCTCGATGATACAACTGCAGCAGTTGTATCTGCTTGAGCTGGAAAACACTGCTGGTACGCCATGGGAGCGTTGGTTGGGTCGAGCGGGTCACATGTTGGTGTTGCCACCATTAAAGGGATCATGGTCCGTGTCTGGAGCCATTGTGTGCCTGTGGCCAAGATCTTGTGGGGCATGTGTTCACTATGGTGTCAGCTGTAATTCTGTTATTTTGTTCTCGGAAGTGGGAAACCCACTTGTTGCCTACCCAGCCCAATGGCTGGTTTTTACAATGTTTGTTCACTGGGACAGACAGCATTCCATTAATGCCCCATTAACATACCACTTGCTTCAGTCCGGTGCGGTTGTCACAGAAGCACTATTGCTGCTCGACATGGTCGTCACCGTGTAGAAGAACAAGCCCTTGACGAGAAAGGCAGTCGTACCCATGCAGAGTGCAGGGTATATTATCAGGAGCCAAGGTGTTACAGCATAATTTTTTTTCATGCATATCTACCAGAAACGCCATTGCTTGCATGATGATTCCACAGGCAGTCTGCATTGCAGTCTGCATGCCAGCATTGGTTTGGTTGGCCTTGGTTGGTTCACGTTGATGCCGACTGCGATTGGAGTGTGTGGGCCCTCCATTGCCAGAAACCAAGATAACATTGTAGCAATGCACTTTAGGTCATATTCCAACCCTGATATCACGACCCAATGCTTCAGAGTTGGATCGGCAAGTTTTGGGAGCGACTGGTGGTAACTGTTGGGTGCCACCCAGCATTCCCAGTGCATGTCTGTGGGACCTTACGTTCCATGCGAGTAGCCCCACATTGCTGGCACAGGTGCCAGATGGTGTCTGCCCCAAGGTGCTCACAAAACAGTTACATGCTGTTCATTCGCACCGCACTTCAGTTTTGTGAGCTATGAATGTGGTCAGTGTCATTCTGTTGAAGTTAGCAGCTTGCTTGCTAAATTCAAAGAAGGTCTTGTAATCCAATTACATTGATACATCCTACCAGGACCCACAGTGGCCAAATGCTGAACGAGAAATGTTTATTCCGCACCCCTCTACCATGCACTCTAACGACTGTAAAAAAGCTGCTCACTGTCCGCTTAGTTATATTTTGCAAAATTGCCACGGCTCCCCATCCACCACTGGTCCATTTCCTTGTGCCAGTTGCCAGATACTGCACCCAGGCTGCCTGAACAGGTTGGCACCTTCTGATTCGCTGTTAATAGGGTTTTGCAACCAACCAGCCCATGAACCGCACTCATGAGATGTCCACCGAGTGTGCAAACGCCCTTTGGACCACGCGCACAGTGGCCATGGTCTTAGATATCCATTTGTTCGCGACACCGCATAATGACCACCGTTACACTGGGTGGATCACTTATGCATTATGGTGTGCGACTTGTACATATTTGTACATTACCACTGAGTGTATGGGCACCTTTGACATATGTTGTATAAAGTAGGCTGCATTGCGGCAATGCATAGGCATATCTGAAGTGTTGTATGGCTGGTTGATGATGATCGTTGCCACCGTCGGCAAGGCTCTTCACTGTGGGAAGGGTGAACAAATATGTAAGCCCTGGCCGTGTGGTGTGTGGTGTGTGGTGTGGCCTTGCGTCTGGCCGTGTACCAACGCCGTTGAAGCATCAGCGATCGTGGATTCGCGCTTCCCGTGTGCACTCCAAAGGGGGCCATTTGAATCGCATCAACGGCCATTTCCTTCAAGACATTTAAATCATCGGACTATTCTCTGTTTCGATGCGTCTGTCCAAGTTGACCAATTTCTTACAAACTCAGCGAACCTCATGGCAATTTGCCTCTTGAGAAGAGTTCTCGCTGCGAAAACACTCCAGCAAGTGGTCACTAGGCACACATGGACTGGTCAAAAAGCGCAGCCACCATTTCTGTACTTTCTCTAGAATTCTGATCTCGTGAGGGCCATAATATGGCAGCAATCTGGCCCTGAAGGCCACCACAAATGTCCAATCCATCAAAAACGCGCTGGGCGTTTCGCTTAAAAGTTTCAGCCTTTTTGCTCGTTGTTTGCTGCGTTTCAACATGCTTCTTTGCACCGGCGACCGCTGGATGGCTGTCCATGCCGAAATTTTGTCTGATGAATGGCGTTGTGTCACCATTCAGTCACGATCTGTCGCGGCCTGTGCCCAAAATCGGGTGCAGGGACAGCGTGACTAATGGTGAATCCAACTGGACGAATATTGGCCAGGCGTACCGAACGCGTTCTATACCATGGTCGGCCACGCACGTCAGCGCCGCGAAGGGGGTATGGAGGTCGGGCAGCGGTGAGGACTCCCACACCCGACGATGCCGTACTGGACAAGATGCACCCACGCCGAAAAGGCAAGCACATGCGTAGTGGGCACGTGCTGCGCTGGTCCCCATTCGGGCCTGCACGAGCGGGACGCCGCAATACACCAACCAACAACGTGCAACGTCCGACCTGCATTTGATCGCGGTGTCCAAAAATCGGTCCCTTCCGATAACAATGGCGCCCACGTGACGACGCGACCCCCAAGGACCAGTCAGCCCTGCGGTGACATAAGCGGAGGAGGCATGCCCGGAAGGCGCACCGGGCAGCGGTACTGACTCAAAAGTATGCCCCATCAAGCGCACGGCCCGCCTGTACTTTGTTAACCTCGGCCCGCGCGGTGACCTGCGGGGTTGAAAGGGGTTCGCGGGCGGCCGGACGGGTTCGCGGTGGCAGAGGAGGCTCCAGCGGAGCGGGGAAGGGGGCTTGGACGACGTCCTGTCGGCCCCCGGGCGGAGGCAGCCCCTCCGAGGTCCCTTCCCCGATCGGTGAGCAGGGCTTGCGTTGCGCGGGCCCCAGGAACCACCGAGGGCGCCACCCGCTTCCCAGCCCGCAATTCATCCTCGCGAGAAGCGGGGGCGGCAGCGGCGGGGTGGCGGCGTCTTTTGGATGTTGCTCTCGGCGGTGAAGTTCTTAGGGGCCGAGGGCTTGGCGCGAGGGGCAGGCCTTGCCACAGAGCGGATGATGTTCTGTTCTGATTTCTCAGGGTTCAAGAATCTGCGCACATGGTGGGGGGAGGGGAAACGCTGTTTTTGGGAGAGTTGGGATGTCGCTGTCGGCGACAAAGTCGTGAAAGGCCGAGGGCTTACCGCGGGGGAGGCGGGGCTAGGAACGGTGTGGACGCCGTTCTATTCTGTTTCCTCAGGGTTCAAGTATGTGCCGCAGGGAGGGGTGGGGTGGGCAAGGGAAGCTGTTTTGGGGGGCGAGGGGGAAGGCGGCCCGTTTGGGACGCCGTTTTAGCAGGCGGGCTTGCGGGAGATGGGAGCTGTCGGGTCGCCTTGGAGCGCCGCGGCCGCGCGCGGTGCGGGAGCGCCGAGGTGGCATCATGGATTGCTCGAGGGTATCCGCGCGATGCGGAAAGCCCCGCGGCCGCGAGGAGGCGCGTGGGATCGAGGGCGCGGGGCGGTCAGGGGCCGCCGGCTTGGTCGCTGTCCTTGTTCGACGGGCATGTGCGCGCGCGTGTGTTCAACTGGTGGTCGCATGGCTGAAATGGGCTCAGATTGTCCTGCGGCAGGGTCGGGTGCGCGGGAGAGAGGATGGCGGCCGTGGTCGAGGCTACAGCGCTGGACGTCGCCACCGCGCTGCTGCAGGAGCTGTCCGCGGTGAAGGGCGCGGCGGCGTGGCACCGCAAGCTCGTCAGGTGTGTGGCGGGTGTGGGGTGGTGGCGTGGGGACTGGTTCGCGTGTCTTTCGCGCCAGGGGCGTGGGGCAGCGCCAGGACGGGCGCAGAGCCGATTTCGGGGTTCTGTCACAGTGGTAGGCTGGCGCCCAGTGCGGCGGAACCGACCCCTGTGCTGGTGGCCCTTATCCTGATCCGAGATTCGTTGGAGAATCGCGGTGGATTGCGTCAGTCGTGACGCGCGTATCGCCCGGGGTGTTGGGAGGGGTCGCTGGCTGGGCGTGGGTCATGATCCCAGGGGGAGCCAGAAGGAAACGGAACTTGTCTTCGTAATGCGCCGCCCTTCAGGAGCGCCTCGGAATTTCTCCAACGGCTCGTGAGAACCCCATAATTTTGTTGGGACCTGAATTCATATTCGAGGTTCCATATGATTCCGTGCTATTGTCTGTTTCGAACTTCCGGCATGATTTTGGCGACTTGGGTATATACAATCGGCGGCTAACTGTACGGTGTTGTGCTTGGAACAGTGGCGTTCTTCAGGTGCAAGACACGCTCAGGAGGATTGACGGAACCCAGTTGAGTCGTGTGGGCATGGCTAAGGTTGTGCAGGCCCGCTGCCTGCTGAACAGGGCCCTGGCCATCGTCGAGCAGCATGGCGCCTTCGAGTCTCAATTTCTGCACGCTCAGTGGGAGGGGGAGATATCCACCGCCCTCAGGCACCTCTGGAAGCTGCACATCGAGCTGCTCCTTGCCGCTAAGCTGCAGGTGACGGCGTTATTGATGATGGAGAAATTCCATTGATTGCATGCCAGCCACCGAGGCTATGGCTCTTCCCAACTGCTCAAGCACTGTATGGCCATTGTTTGTCCCAACGATTGCCATCGCTCGCATGCACGGCCATCTGCTTGGACATTGATGTGTACAATCAGTACAATCAGTGCAATAAATACACTGTACTCTGTATCTCATTTGCAACACTGAGGAGACAGACAGCAGGTGATGCGGGGCAATAGCAGATATCAGTAAAGCTGCTTTTGCTAGGATGCTGCAATGGCATTGTACTGAACTGAACTCGTAAACCTGGCATTTATCACTTGTCGACATTATGTCAAGTTTCGTATTGGACCATTTGCTCATGAATATATCGAACGGAGCATTGTGTGCCAGGCAGATTCCAGTTACCAACTTTCGTCAGAATGGCAGTGCACATTGGGTGGAAATGCCCAAACAAAAGGGTAATGTTGGGGCGATCTGGTCCTGCTTTGTCCCCTGTGCATGTCCAGCACACCAGTTTTGGTGTTGGATGTGGGCTAAGTAAACATGCAAAATGTGCAAAACAAGCAATTTCTGCCAGTGTGCAGTCCAGTTGCAACAGCTGGTGGTTGCAGGGGAATTCCGACGCCAGCAGGGGCTCCCAGAATGTTGACTAGCTGCACATCCCCTATGGTTCCGATGTCTGCGATGTTTGCGCAGAAATCCACTCGAGGCGCAGGTTTGCCCAGCACACGAATTTCGCATAGTATGCAAATGACACCGTCATCATCGCCAGCTGCACCAGCAACAAGTTAGGATATCCCAGCATTGTCTGTGCTTGGGGCGCTTGCAGTTGCCCCTACATCACTGCTTGTGGCACACAAATGCAAGGTTTTGAACTTGGCACAAATACGACAGAAACGAAGCATGAATCAATCAGCGATGCGACTGCAATGCTCAGTTACAGCCAACCATGCTAAACCTGTTCGTATCATTGGTTGATTCAAGCTTTCCTTTGCTGTGTTTGTGCCTAATTCAAATCTTTCCCCTCGAACCCCACAAGCAGAGGCGATGCATACATCTTGACATTTCCTTGCAGTTGCCACCACCCGGCTGAACCCTCCTTGGAAAGCAAAATTGTGCACTGTTTCGCCGGAGTGTTTGTTTCCGTTGCATCCATGTCTCCCACTCGCTGTTCGACTGCAGCCGGCCAATCCAACAGCAAAGGGAACCGAAAGAGAATCCCACATCTTAGTAATAGACTTGGAGGTTTGTCCTGTGATGTGTGTCGTGTTGCAGTGTGTGCATTGTTCGAATTGCAGTGTTGCTGTATACATATCATGGGCAACTGCGCTCTTCCTCAAGCTTCTTGTCGAAGCCTCTGCCATTGAACGTGTCGCACCCAAACAGGTATGACGTTTGTGTGGCTGCCGTTTTTAGGAAGAAGTTTCCAGGCAGGTGCCCCCAAGCTCCTATGGCAGTGACGTCGAGGTGCTGTCCAGTGACACGGGCTCAGTGGACCTTGACCAGGAATCTTTGGACGGATGCTAAGTCACGATTACGCCCCCCAAGGGGTGCATAGCTAAGAACAGCTAAACCAGAGTTCCCATCGTGCCCGTTTGCATAACTATGGCCGGTGTTGCTATGGCCGCGCAAACGAAATTTCTGCAGCAGGGCAACACGAGGCCCTGTGCCAGCAGCAGATCTCGCTGGCCTCAGAGTTCATGATGTTTTATGGAAGAGGTTGGACTTTTGCAAACTTATGTGGGATAAGTGGATCACCAGGGGCGACGTTCAGCTGCGGACTCCATTTCGTGGTGCTCCAGCATCCTGGTAACTCAGGATAGCTGCATTTCCGCACCTGTGGTCTGGGCATAAGGCATGTCAGCTGCACTTTTTTGGAGCACGTTGATGTACCAATTGTGAATTACGGCTTGTACGGGGGGTTTTGTGCCTTTGGAAGGCATTCTCTTTTGTCAGAGAGCGTTGGGAGTGCAGCGCTGGGTACGGACCATGTGCCAATGCAAAGCTTTGCGCAAAACAGAGCACCCTTATGCGAAGACTCGAGATAAATCGTGCGCGTGGTTGGCCATGTCGCATTACGTGTGGTAGCAAGACGTTGCTTGGCTTTTTCGGACAGTACTCGTTGCAGAATCGCCTTGGGAAGAGGGGCCTGAACGTGACGTCTGCTGGCTTCCTGCAGCATGCAAGGGGGCGAAATGGAGACCGCTCAGCAGCCGCGATAACGAATAACTAGGAACGATGTGAACGATACGACACCGTAGCTACAACTTGAGCATGGGGGCCTGCATGCTTGTGGATCGTGGTAAGCTTGTGTTGCATGCGCTGACGAATGACCGGAACGCTGGCGCGAAATTGTCTGTGAATGAAGGAAAAGGTCACAGCGCAGACAAAGAGGAAACTTGGCGGAAGCTCAACAAGGTGGCTGCTTGATTCACGGTTATGCATGTGTTAATGGAGTATGCTGGAGGTAGATAAGGTGAGGGCTGTTCAGTTGGACAGGGTCCCTACTCAGGGTGGCGTGCAGTATCACGCCATGAGATGGAATGCCCAGTGCTGGTCAAGAGGACCATGCAATAGGCACTCGAATAATCTGCGACGGGGCGGCTTCTGCAGGGGAGCGTGCTCGGAGCTCGCCTGCACACGTTGTGGTCGCAGGAGCTGTAAAGATTGATGCGGAGCGTCAATGACGGAAAAATGCGCTGCATAGAAACCCCTTCCATTGCGTTTGCTAAGAGATGCAGGTTTGTCGCGGGCTGCCATCTGAGGTTTTCGGGAGAGTTGCTGCCATGTGCATGCACCACAGCTCTTGCCAACTGTGCTGCTAATGAGAAGCAAGTGACAGACAGGATCGCAGCGGATTTCTCCAAGCCACGCTTTCCATTGCTTTCTTTTCCTTTCTGGTGCAGAAATCTACAGCATCGGCCAAAGTGAAGCGGTGGGCCACAAAGGTTCTCGGAGATAATCCGCCCAAAACGAACGATCACACTACAAATAGGCATTTCATGCGCCAGAGCTCGGAGCTCCAAGCTTTTATAACCACAACGTACAAACTTCATACATAAGTACTATGCACTACACAACAATATTTCGCTCTTTTGCGCAGGATCCGCCGCACTGCACATGCCCAAACGCACGGTGCCCAACGCCGCCTTGCACATGGGAAAGGCGATCCCCAAAGAATACAAGAATTCCCACGCCCAATTTCCACATCATCTGGGGCAGCCGCGGATTCGCAAACGCACTACCTTCACAGCCCCCCAAAATTGATCGCAGCTCCAGACCACGCCAGCCCATGGTGCACATTCCAATATCGATTCTGTGCCACAGCATCACAGCCGGCCTGCAACTGCAAGCTCACCGTGCCGCGAACCATGAACACCGTCAGGCAATAAAAACTGCAGCAAGCAGCCCCATCCACACAATGACAGCCCCTGCGCTGACGATGCCAGCTATCCGCTCGTTCCTCCTATCAGAGCAGATGCCGACCATCCCGCACATCAGCGCGGGAGGGAATACGACGAGCCCCACGAGGAACATGACCCAGTACGCGTTGCAGCAAGGGTCTGGCATCGGCCCCCAAGGGTCGTATTCTCTTCGGACAGATCGCTGTGTCTGCAAGCAAGACAATTCAAAGTCTGTCAGGGTGGCCAAAAGCTTGGTCTGCCTACAGGTGCCTTTAAACTATTCCACACCAGTCAGCGTGGTTTGTTGTCCAACGCAATCTTCATCCAATTCAAGAAGCGCTTCTGGTGGGCGTGCAGACACGGTAGACTCATGTGGCTGCCATGCGCACGACGCTGGCACAAACGGTCAGCAACACAGCCACTGCGAGAGCATTTCGATTTCGCTGATGGGGTTGTTAATCTTCGTTTGAAAGGTGTAGCTGGACAAGCAGTCATGCAAGTGTTCGTGTAGTAGCTGGACCTGAGGTCACCTTGTGCAGACATCATTTGGTACTCCAGGCCATGCAGTGCAACTACGCTGCTACTGTCGACTGCAGCAGCTTCAACAGTCACTGATTTTCTGTGCATACCTGATTTTGTCTGTTTCCAGCACAACTCGTTCGCGTTCAAACAAAGAAGCACGTGTCACATCTTATGGTCACACAATTCACGCCCACAAGCTACAGCATGTGTCTATCCACTGCTTTGCTGTTACTCTTAGTATGCTGTCTTTACTTTGCCCTTGTTTTACATCCTTGTTTCCTTGAACGAGACACCATCCTGGAAACAACAGGAGTAAGAACCTGTGGATGCGTCAGTGGGCTTTCGCATGGTATGAAACTCTTTCAAGCACACTTGTCAGCACTTGCCAGACCACTGGCCTGCAATTTTCAAGTGGCTGAGGTTTGTATTATCAATTAGTGTCTTTCCCCACTTGTTGTCAATTGTGGTTGTGAGTGGGTTCAAGCGTCTGGGATGATGGGGTACATTGGGGATGGTGAGGCAAGAGGGATGGTTGTGGGTGAGCTGCAGAGGAATGGGTATTATTTTGGATAATTTGTATGCCTCGACTTAGACGCGGATGGTCGGTACATGAGGGAGACGAACACTGGGAAAACAATGGACATCCTGTTCTTGTACGTTTGGGTGACGACATAGCCCTTGGTGGTTGACAGGCAACAAATGGAATTTCCTCATCATCACCCCAGTTGTTTTGGACACTCGATCTGCCAAGGGTACGTGATGCATGTGCCATGCCTGGTACTCTGTGTAAAAGGGAGGATGACCAACAGCATTTCCCACTGGAGCTCCCACAACAGGGCTGCCGATGGCGTTCCCAACTGGGATGCCCTGCGCTGGTACACCTTGGACAGGCAAGTCGTGGGTGCTGCCTTCATCAGGGTGCCTGATTACCCCTTCAGGGGGGAGCGGCGTTATCTGCAACCCAAACAAATGGACAACTGCCTTCAGGAGGTGGTGCATTGGGTGACTAACAGAAACGAGGAACAGGACAACCATCTTTGTGCACTTTGTGTTCGCTGCAGTTTCCACACAAGGGCAGACCAAGCATTTACAGAACAGAGATACAGGGTGGTAGGCTGAGATGGCGAAGTTTGGGCATGTATTTCTGGATTGAACAATGGGATGTCCCAAGTGGCACCAGTACGAAAAGAACTTTATGGATGGTCCACGCACAAGGAGCGCAGGACATATAGTATTCTTATGCTCTTCGTAGCCACAAAACGAAAGAAGGACCCCAGCCACACCCCAATTCAGAACGTCATCTTCAGCCACCCAGTATAGGTCTAGTTACACAGTTGCTATGTGCCCCTGTCAAGAAGAAAGTGCAGCCATCGCTTGCCAATCCAACAGGAAATGGCAGCTGCCCCTTCTAGAAAGCACCTTGAAGCAGAAAGAATGAGCACAAGATGAGCTGATGTCGAGGTAGAAGCAAAATTAGATACTGGGAGCCGATTTTGCTGCTAGATGCAACAAATTCATGCAACCCTTTGTCGCCACTGTCTCTTGCTCCCAAAAGTCCTGAGTAAGCCATCCAGGACGATTGAATCAATAGGATGGCCATTGTAAACTGCAAGCAGCAGTCTTGGAGCTGTAGGCAAGTAAACATCTATCTGTTAACTTGGCCGGGGGGCCCTGCTGCAGAGACAAATTATCACCCTTACTTGGTTCTGCAAGCATCAGTCTGAAAGGAGATTCCTTTTGGAACAAGAACACTTGGGCGCAAACTCACCAAAATTTTTGCCACAATGCTCGACTCCCCCATTTTGTTTAGAATTATGTCCTCTTCCCCACAGAGAGGCAAACCTGCGGGTGCACCTCCAAATTCAGGTGCTGCTTTGAGCTGACGTTGAGCCCACAAGCCGTGCAAATCGCGGCACGCGCGTACAGAGCACACGGCGTCGCGCAACCCGCTGGGCGAAATTTCAGTTGCACGATTACGCGATGCCGTCGAATTGCGGTAAGGGCGACTTCCGCCTTCAGCTGTCCGCGTTGGCGAATAGACCTGGAGGAGCGCGACGAGGGCAAGGAAATGCCGTGGTAGCGGCGTCTTCACGCACAACATGGCTTTGCGGCAAGCCGCTGCGCGCTTGAAGCAGGTCTGCGCCTCGGCGTATGGACGAGCTGGGCTTTGGAGGTCGCGGGTGTCAGTGTCGGGATTGACCGTACATGTTGGGAACAAACGTGAGTTGCCGCAACGAGCGTTACCGAACGTTCGGGCCATCGCGCGCGGACCGGATCAGGGCTGAATGGAGTTCGTTCTGGCACCACACACACGAAAGACCTTGTTCAGAGTAACACTTCACCACGTGATTTCGAGGCGGTGCAATTTTTGCCAATGCAAGTGAATGACGCTGCGCCCAGCTGCACCTCCGCTACAACTCGTTCTGCGCCGGACGTCAGGCAGCATTGGACGGAAGGTCACAGCAAAGCGCGTGCAGGCGGCCAATGCGGCTTCAACGCGAGGCGAGACTCAACGCCAAAGCGCACATCGTGGGCGCAGCCCAAACCGCCGTTTCGTGCCGAAGCGAACCGCCGCTTCGTGGAAGCGGCTGCACAAAAGATCATCCCGCCCGTGGACAACGTCACGTCCCCATGCCCACCCCTCACTGCCCCACGCAAGGTCCCAATCGCCTTCCCTGCGCCGCATCGCGCCGTCGATCAAGGCCACGTCGATCGGCGCCAGCGGAACGCCCTGTGGGATCCGGCCTGCTCAGGCCATCCCGGACGCGCAACCTCTGCCATCCACTGCGTTCCCGGCTACCCTACAGAAAACGATCCCCCCGGGCCCTCTCCTATTACCGCCTTCCAAAAGCCGCGCCCAGCCCACCTGGTCTGCACTACACTGCCAGCGGACTACAGCTGACTTCGGTTGGGCGACAATGGAATGCAGTGCCCGGCTACCGACGCGCGGTGTGCACCGAGGAAGGCTTTCGGCCCACTCCGGGGCTTGTGGCGTCGAGGGACGCGAGGCTGGGAGGACAAGGGGTCGCGGGGTGGCGCTTGTGCAGGTGGGTCCACCTTGAGGCAAGGGGCGGACGGAGATTAGCAAATGGGCACGTTGCGGGACGTGTTGGGGAGTGGGGTGGGCATGAGGAGAAGGGTGGTGCGAAGAAGGGGGGCAGGGGAACGTGGGGCTCGCCGCGTTGGCTGATTCAACGTGGACGGGGCCCCCCGTCTGCACCGCTGCCGTTGTGCGATGCCAGGCCCAGTGCGCCACACCATTCCCGGGATGCAGGACCTCCCGTGGCGTGGCTGTCGTGTCCCATACCATGGAAAGTCTCTTACCCAGAATCGGGCGCACATCGATAAATCCATACGTCTTGCCGCATTGTCGTCTCCGTATTCTCCTTCTATGTTGGAGTTCGTCCCTTTGGAAGAGACTAAGCCCTTTTTACACTTTTATGGATTTTCGCCACTTCCTAGCCACCTTTTGAGGCTCATGGGTCGCCAGCTTGCCATAAATTTATATCATACTTGGCGACATGAACATCCACACGAAGACAGAGCAGCTAATCGCATGCCGCTTTGTGCACATATGCCAAGGCCCTTCACACTGCGTGTTCGTATGTCACACTGTTACGGCTAGAACTGATTGAATGTTATTAATAACTGAATGCATGAAGAGATGATGAAACACTAGGAACTGCATTAAGGATGTTGATGAACGCATGGAATATAAAGGACAGAACGCTTGTGGCCCTTTTGCCTCGGCTGTAAACCGTGGACTCGAGCGTACAATTCCCGTTTAGGGATCGCCAGCCCTCGATCCTGCCTGCCTTCGTCAGCACCGCGTGCGGTCACGCACGGGTGACCCTCTGCTGGCTCCTTGGCCATGCAGTGCATTCAGCAACGAAAAAAGCTGCATTCCGAAGCCGATTGCCCGGAGGCCAGCGTCCTTGCTGCTGTCACTCCCATGTCCGTGCGCTCCGTCCAAGCGGATCCCCTCGCGGCAGGTTCCGACCGGTGTCTTGAGTGGATGCCGCGCTGTTGGGAAGGCCTTCGGTTGGGTGGCGGGGGGTCGCGTGGGGCGACAACCGCCACTTCGCGCCCTTGCGCCTCACTCTTCTTGGGCGCTACCTGCCATCTGCTGCTGCTTTTGGGGTCGTGCGGGCGGGTGGTGGGACAGGATCAGGAGCCCCTACCCAGCATGACCTCGGTGTCTAACCCGCTCAGTCAGCCGGCGCGCACACCCGACCAGCAAGTGAACGCGCTGCTGGAGTTCAAGGCGGCCCTGACGGACGACGAGGGCGTGCTGCAGAACTGGAGGAACGGCTCGGATCCCTGCCTGGATGGCTGGGACGGCGTAGGGTGCAACTGCACGGAGAGAGGGCCCGACGGGCTGCCGCGCTCGCCTTTCTGCGTGGATAGGGACGCCAACGGCACCGACCCGATGGTGCTGGAGCTGACCCTGGGGGCCTCTAACCGGGAGGCGATGCTGAATGGCATGATCTCGCCCGCCCTGGGCAACCTGACAGAGCTTTGGAAGCTGGACCTGTCTGGCCAGGCGCTCACGGGCACGATACCCGACGCCCTTGTGAACTTGAAGAACCTGGCCTTCCTGTCCCTGCGCTCGAATCAGCTGACTGGCACCCTACCGGCCTTTCTGTCGGAGTTTGAGCTCTTGACGGAGGTGCTGTTGGGTCAGAACGAGTTCGTGGGCGCCGTGCCTGCAAGCTGGTGTGACCAGGCGGGGAACCGGTCGGAGACGCCGGGGTTCAGGGATAGAATCAGTCTGGAGGGGAACCTGGGGCTGTGTGGCAAACTGCCGGACTGCTTTAACGAAACTTCACTGCGATTTGCGGACACCAACCTGCAGTTGAGAGACGGGATGGGAGGTGTGTGCGACCAGACACCGCCTGTGTGCGATGAGGCTGAAATCATTGTTCCAAAGTTTTGGACCAATGCGAGCCAGATAACGTTCAACTTCACAGGTTGCAAAGACGATGAGAGTGGCATTTCAGAGGAGACGTTCAGCGTCCAGCGTTCAGGGTCGCCCGAGGATGAGAAGGGGGGTCTGGTCAAAAATGAGTCCTTGCCGGAACCAGTGGTTGAGGAAATGAAAGAAGGGCGCAAGGTTAGGATGTTTGTGTTTAACTTGACAGAAGTTGAGCTGAAGGATGGCAGCCACTTCATTGTGATAGTGACTTCTGCCAACAAGGCGGGACCCAAATTACGCGCTTCCATCTCCAGTGAAGATGTTACAGTTGACAGCTCAGCTCCTGAGCCAGGGTTGGTGATGTTGCAATGTCTGGTGGAAGGAAAGCGATACGATGGATTTTGCCCAGTGGGGAAGGGTGTCCAGCAGGACAGTGCTGTCAGAGAGCTGAATGTCAGGTGGACCGACTTTCGGGACAACCATACTAATGTTGAAGCTTATTCTATCAAAGTCTCTTGGCAACAGGCACAAACTATTGGTGAAGATCGCACCGACCTGGTGGATTTAAATGTGACCATGGCATTTGACCGAGAGGACTTGATGATCTTTGCCTCTTTGTTCGAGCAGAATGTGACGGTTCCAGCCATCCCTGAGGGGGATAGTTATGTTGTGGAAGTGTTGGCAAGAAATGAGGCCGGTTTGGAGGACCAAGCCACAGCCACTATTGCAGTGGTTCCCAACGTCATCGGAGGGACTGAGCGCTCCAGAAGAACGCTGGCTGCCATTATTGCTAGTACAGTGGTTGCAGGGGCGTTGGTGGCTGGCGCATTTGTTTGATTCTTTGTGCGAGGTAGGATGGGCAACTTGCAGCAGTCAGCCTTACAGTGCAGGGTCGAGATGCTGAAGGATCTGATGGATGGGCTGCTCGATGTTTCATCCGAGACAGGAAGAAACAGGAGAATTATCCGTGAGCCGATCGAGCAAAGCCAATTTGAGATTCGGGACGTCGCGTTTGTGGTGACTGACCTAGAAGCTCCCTCAGCCATGGCCCTCCACCCTCGGACTGTGTTCAACAAGATGCTGGATGAACAAAACTCCATAATCCGGGAGCTTCCTGAGCAGGAGAACGGGTATGAGACAGGCACAGAGGCTGACTCCCAGATCGCTGTCGCTGGCATTGTTGATGCTGTAGTGTTCAGCATGAATGTCCGGCACAGGTTTTTGCAGCACAAGTGGACCATTGAGATGTTCAAACTTCCCTGTTGCAACACTGAAATGTCAGCAGTTGGGAAATTGGTGTTCAAGCCCCCCTGTGCCAGGATGGGCTTGGACTGGGCGTCGGATGGCACGGACATGACGAGGATACACCCTGTGACCAAGCAACATGTTTTTGCTGGTCTAGCATTAGAGGTGGCCAAAATGCTAGGAAATGCAGCCAGCGATGGCCAGGTTCTGATGACAAACGACACCTGGAAAGAGCTGCAGCCCCTGATGAAATATGCAGAATCCCCCACCGTGGAGCGGGTTGGCCTTTTCTACTTGCCCAAGTGGCCGATACCTGTCTGGCTGTAAAGAATCAAACAGCTCATTGCCAGACCACTGGGGAGGGCATTCCCGGAGGTTCCCCAGGGCTTGACCCGGATGGAGAAGGGCTCTGGCTTGAGGATCATCTTGCCCCCTCAGCCCAGAGGGAAGCTCTGCTTTGTGTCTGCTGACATGACCTTCCCTTCCATTGCAGATAGCCCACCCAACATGCCCAGTAGTCTTTTGGGAATACTGTATGGCGTGTTGGTCACACAGGCCCAGTACTTTGGTGGCTACATCTACTGGTGCCAAATGGCTGTGGCCTGCATGGCTCTGGCCTTCTAACAGATCCTGGAGGGCCTAAAGGACTGCCAAGTGTGCACGTCCACCTGATGCACGTGAAGCTTCCCTATGAGGTGTCGGAGCTATGTGGGCCGAATGTTAGGGGCAGGGTTGGCCATGTTTTGAAAGGTCTCAGGGTGACCACGGCTGTGCACACAACAGGGGAGTACGAGGAGCTCTTGGGGAGTCCCAGGGGAGAGGGTAGGGTTGCTTGCCACGATCCTGTGGAGGACATTGTGCAGCGCCTGTGCAACATCACAATTGGGGGTTCAGGTTATCATTAGTGACACGGCTTGGGCAGATGTGCAGGACAACATCCCTACAAATTCTCAGTCCATCAGCCTGGGAAAACACAAAACAAACAATGTGGGAGACAGGCCCTGATGCTGATGGAGGTGCTGCCCTCCATCCTGGCGGAGAGGGACTTTGGCGACCTAAGGAGCAAGGCGAAGCTGTAGCCGGGGTTCGGGGACTTGAGGAACAATGCCTGGCAAGTGGCATAGACGCCCAGTACAGTGGCAGGACACACAGTGTTTGGAAAGCACTCCAAGAGCTCCGCAAGCCTAATGGGCCTGGCAAAAGAAGTTGAAAAAAACATGTTGCACATGACTCAGAGTACCCCCCTGCCTTCAAAGACCAGTGACAAGCCAGGGTTGGTGTGGCACCTGTGGTGGGAAGAGAGCCTTGGTGGATCCCTATGGATCAGGCACAGTCACCTGGCTCTCTGGGGCAGTCTGTCCTGTAGCTGGTTGTTGCTTCATAGCAATGACATGAACTAGGTATAGTGCTAAACTAGGTATAGTCATTCTGTTGGAAGGCGATCCCCCAAGGGACGATGCTAAGGACAGCAGTTGTGGTGTCTTGTATTTCCACGTCATGGGTCGACCTTCGTGAATGCGGTGGTTTGGGGTCATCGTAGCATGAGCCAGGCACAGGTTTTTTGAATCCCAAGTTGGATGGCAGTTGACCTGCGACGGTGGAGGCAGGCACGATTGGGACCATGCTCAAGTCGGCAAGCAGAGCATGTACACGGAGAGCAGGGGGCCAGCAGATCTGCAGTTCAGTCAATCACCAATCTGTTTAAGTGGTGGGCATCTTGTGAAAGGAAGGATTTGGCGAAAACCTGAGCAGTGCTCTGACCAAGCACTACTGCACAACTCTGTTTAACTTGTATTTGTGTGTCGATATCTCAATTTTGAGGTGGTGTGCAAGATTGGTGGGGATTAGATGGGGAATGAGGTAGTGTAGCAGTGCTGTGGCTTGTACATGAGCTTTGGTTTGTTATTATGAGCCGATCGTAGGCGAGCACAGCTTCACAGGGGAGATTTGGGCCTGTATCTTATCGCCAACAATTAACTTGCAACCCTGCTCCAGAGTTGCCATCACCAATGCGTGTCCAGCACGCTCTTGCTGTAACTTTTTGTGGCACAGGGCGTGGAGCAGTGTACAAGGGAGCAAGGGGGGGGGGGGATCAATGTGCTTTTATATGTTGCAGTTTGTAAACTACTTCCCCACGTTGTGAATTTCAGCGTCACATTCGACCGTTTTTGTTTTCCGGACATTTTGCTCATCCACCATCGTCCAAATGTTTTCGGCATCGTGTTCAGAGGGTCGCCACAACAGAAAAAGGCGCTGGGTGGTTTTGTGGATTGGAACAGCGAATTCTGTATTCTGTGTTGAGATTCATATTCAAACACTGAGGAGGATGAAAGCAGCCAGTTGTACGCGCTGGAAGATGCAGTTTGGGAGGGCTGAGGCTCGATCAACTCGGGGAAGACGCCACGTCGATTTGGTATGCTTAGTGTCAATTTGACATGCTCGGGTCGCCAATAATGAGAGCATCATGGCTTAATAATGCACCCATCAGTTGCGACAAGCTGGTTCCCCGTGAGGCCCAGAATGCCATGGCATGGGACTCCAGTACGGGGGAGCCTTGCCCAGCGGAGGAGGGAACCGTATGGACAAGGGGGTTTACTGGACGGTATCAGCCTTCCACCTACGGCATCGGAGCCCACAATAGATGACAACATCCGGGACCCACTCTCGCAACCCTGCACAACTAAGCATCCCAAGCGCAGAAGCACGCTCGAAGCAGCAATAACCCAAAGCCTCTACGCCACCTCTGGAGAGAGCCCGTCCCCGCAACACGACAAGGGACAATCCCTCCGCTCTGCGACCGTCACATTCGACTCAGGGGCTAACGAGGAGAGGCCCTGTGGTGCAAAACTGGAGCAATGCCCGTCGCTGTCTTGGGCGGCTCTGTGTGTGACCATGGGCTGGTGACGGGAGGATCCAGCCGCACGGTGGCGAATGACATCCGTGCCGGATTGGCCCTGTCCTGCTGGGGCGAATGAACCACCTCTCCCAGGCTTTTCATTCTGCCTGCGAAGTTCTCTTTCGGAGAGAGCTATGTTTCTTTGCCCCCATCACGAATGGCCAGGACCCGAGTCGATGGGTCTTGACGGCCTTAACATTCGCGCGCAGTATGCAAGGCCGGCCGAAGCAATCTGAGCCAGTGGGTTTATGGAGAAGGGGCTGCCTGCTGATTTGACTGGCGGTGGTTTGCGGCTGAGCTCCGGAGAGAGAAACGCGCCAGCCCAGAACCCTGGGCGGGGTCGCGGGGGCAATGGGGGTGGCTGGCTCAATGGCCTGGAGGGTGAGTATCGTGGATGATGCAGAGGGGATGTGTGTGCATGCGGGGCGTGATGACATATCGGGGATATCACTCGCAATATCGAGCACTGTCAAAGCCAGGTTGTATGTTAATCCACCATGGGAGATATGGATGGTAGACTGGATGGAAGCAAGTGTACCAAGCAGTCATTATGGGTGTAGAATGGTCATTAAGGGGTGAGTAAGGTATCAATGGATAGGAATTTTATCAGCAATTGATTGGCATTTTCACCAGTGGATTTGAAGAAGAAACGAGCATTTTATAAGAAATTATCACTTGCAGTTTGGGGGCCAAAGGGAACCGGTCGGTTTGATTTGGCTGAAAAGTGACTGATTTGACTGACATACATGTGGCAACATGCATGGCCGTAAGAAAGGAGTGCACATGCCGGTCCCATGGGAGAGCAACTTTGCGGAGACCGTTGTGCGCCTGAGAGCCCTCCTGCCACCAGATCCTCGTGAAAGATGGCTTGCATTCTGACAAGTGAGGGCGCCCCAGCCAGCCTGGACCAGATCTTGGAGTGGCGGAAGGCATAAGCCCTCCCAAGCCTAAACGACGTCAAGGAATTCTGCGAGCAGTTGGAGCAATTCCAAGCTGCCCGCCTTGCAACGTTAGGGGTCCAAGCATCCTGGACCAACGAGCAGGGGAAGGTTATGGTGGATCGTATGTGGAAACATGCCAACGATCTTCAACGTGCGCTTATGGAGATGTGGGAGGCCTCCCTTAACGATGGCTACCACATCTTCGATGCGGTGAAGCAGGCTAGCTTGGGATTCCATGCCTCGCTGGACATGAGCACGCTGTCGGTGGCGGTGAGTGTGGACGTATTTTACAATTCGAAAACATGTGCTATGCCGGGTTGAAGCCTACATGGGATGCATCCAGGCAGGATGTAGAGGTTTTGGAGTTGCACCGCATTGACAACAAGCCAGTGGTCTGGCTTGTGCTGACAATTGTGGATGATGAAATCTAGGCGGAGCAGCGGCGAATTATAGGTGACTTCTTCCACAAGCATCTAAATGTGCAGACTCTAGAAGATGCATACGTTGGAGACGTGCCGCTGGGTGCATTAATGGAGGAATGCCGAGTTTTTGCTAAAGTTGCCGCTTGGTCTGCCCAAACGAAATGTTGTCTCTCCAGCACTGCAGAAGGCTATCAAAGGCTGGAATACCAGGGCGCAAGTCATACAATCCCGTTGGAAGTTTAACGCAGTGAAGACCGAGGTGCAAGGGTGGATTTAGGGGCACAAGGCCAAGCCGGATTTTAAGCGGGAGCCTACACCCCCTGTGGAGAAGCATAGATAATTGTGGTGGAGGGGGAAGGCATGCATGCAGGCGGATTTTGGTGATGTGACAGCTGGATAGCTGGGGCAATCATCAAAATAAGATGACAAGACATCCAGGGTCTGCATGGGATTGTGCGGCGACAACGGCCTCTTTGGTGGGGATCAACTTTTTTATAATTTTGATTTGAAAAGACTTTTGTATATTGTAGGGATAAGTGGGATTGCATGAGTCTAACAGAATGGGACAAGAAGCGGCTGGACCTTTGGGTTACTTCCTGGGGCTGGATGGGGTTACGGGTACTAGCCTTTTGGGTCGATTAGCCCCTTGGGATGGACCCTTTAAAATGACCCTTGTTTTTGTCGTATGATCTGGTGAGTGACATTGTATAAAGCGGTGTGTTACGCGCACAGGCCTGATGTAAGGGACGCCTTACTAATGGCCCTTGGTGTGGGGGACGCCCTGCCCAAGATAACTATTCCTCAACCCATAGTAACCTCTCTAGGTATTGGGATATGGGAGTAGGAGGGGTGGTCCCGCCTAGGTCCCCGTAAGGACCTAGGTGCCTGGCGAGGCGGGTCCGCGGCTCAAAGAGGGCAGGAGCCCCACACCAACAACTCTTTTGTATCATTTGGTTTCGGAGCCACCTGTGGGTGGCTACCACACTTTCGACTGGGAGCGCGGGGAAGCAGAAGCAACCGGGTTTCTTCCCCGGCCTCCTTGATGGAGGCTGAGGAAAAGGATTCCAC